CCTCGTGGTTAACCGCACTTAACCTGTGATTCTTGTACGCGTCGATTCACGATTCACCAAACCACACTTCATTTTAGAAATAGTAAACCAAACGTCATGTCCAAGCAGTTTATGACGGCCTGGATATACATTATAGTTCAACTGAGCAGAGGGGAACCTTACAAAGAGGCAACTAAGATGGTTTTTAATTTGGTACAAGAACTCAAAATTTTTGGAACGGGTTATATGATCCATTTAAACATGCATGATTGACTGCTCAAGTACTTTTGACTCCAACTTAGTCTGACAAGTGGAGAAAAAAAAACCCCACAGAATTCCAGACAATGTGAAACGACATAGATATTTCGTATTTCTTTCAATGAAAACATGATACTGACACTATTTTGTGTCAGTCAGTGAAAAAAAGAACCAAAAGCTAAAAGTAACAAAGGTAAACATAAAATGCAACGACAAAAACGAGCCAGTTTATATTGTGAGTATAGTAGTACATTTAATACATTTTAATAGTTTGCAGTGATGGTGCCCTTTTATTAACATGTCGATTCTCGGGCTTTTTTTTAAAGCTAGTTACTACTATTTGTTCATACAACAGTTGTCGTTTAACATCAATCATGTTCAACTCAAGCCAAGCTGAATGATTTAATGGATGACGCTTTCTATACTCGTACATACCCGACGGCATATCCAAGCGTATATCTCTTCCTAATAAAGAGGGCTCATGCAATGTAATGTTTATAAATGTAATATCGAAATGTACCTTTGTGTCCGATTTAGCCTTATTTTCAATTTTCTTTTTCCCATTTTCGAGGGTATTTTGGTGCTTTTTCGGTTTTTATGCTTATGGCAATTTTCATATTCAAGAGCAAAAGTGTGAAGTCATTTCAGGCAGAAACCTCACTGTTACAGTTATTTTAGCACCACTGCCAGATTTTTGGATATTTTGTTGTAAATGTTGGATATTTTGTTGTAACTTTTGGTGTTATTTTTTGGTGATTCGTTGTTGTGTCAGTACATAACAGTAAGCCAATGAGCCAATTTTTCTCACAAATGTTTTAAATGAGCAATTTTTTTGGGTTCACAATTTGAACACAAAACTCCTAAACTGAACAGTGTCTTCCTGAAATGACATCACAGCAACAGCGCCCTCAAGTTGTCGGGAACGCATGGACAATTTGAAATGTTTAAAGAAGTGCACTTTTCAAGTAACCAAAAAGGGATGTTAAATAGTTTTCATACATTTAAGAGGAGTAAAAAGTTGCACAACATGTGTTCCTAAGAAAAACTTATCTCAGTCATGGGCCCTTTAATATTGTAAAGGAATTGCAAACCATTGACGCATGCGCGTTAGAGTGCTGACCTCGGTTCACAAGTCAAATCTGTCCAATCAGAGTCCAAAGAAAGTTAGAGGTGATCACACTCTGAAAAGACACGGGTCAGATTCGACCAAAATCCAGACTTGACTGTCACTTTTACGGGTCAAAATGACACTTTCCGAGTCACTTTTCCAAGCGTTTTGATCCAGAAAGTGTTATTGCAACACAAAAACTGTTAATGCGACCAAGAAAAGTGTCGTATTTACACGAAAAGTTGTCAGTTAGACACAGAGGGGGGTGTTTTCAAAACAGATCCGAAATGTGACCAGGGATTTTTAACAGTGCACAACTATAGGGCAAAGGGGACGAGTCTCACAAGAGAAAACTATCTAAAAAGTAAGCTGGGTCGTCTGTATCTGAGGTATTAAAACCGTACAATAAATGACAGGTGTAAAATACAAAACGAAATTAAGGCGTTCTCAGTCTATCAATCAAAACAAAACTACTAAGATAAGCTAGCTCAGACCTACTTCACGCAAAAATGCGGGCCAACTTCTCATACACGAGCCTTGATGATTAACAACAACAAGCCGACCCTCTCAAAATATGATCAAAACACATCTTACAGCGATTAGATAAAAGAGGGCAAAAAAATAGGTCATCGGGACCTATAGAGCAAGGAGCCGAGGTTAGCTGCCGAGGGAACCCGCCATTCCTGGAAATTTCAACAAACAGTCTGCCTACAGCCCCTTGGGCCCTGGCGTATTTTTGTCATCCGAGCAATAACGCCGGCTAAATCGATGATAAATCGTGGCCCGTTTTACCTAATGTGACTGCGCGCTGCCCCTTGGCTTACTGAGAGAGGTTAACCGACGGCTGTTCTATGGACATAGGGAGGAATAAGTGCTGAATACAGGGCGTCCCCAAGAAATCTGTGCAAGCAGATATCCTGTAATTTCTCAAAAACTCTATAACATGAGTATTTCATCTTGATGGAGCATATTAATTATACTCTTGTGTAGACTCAGTAAAAATGCCAAGGAAATCTGTTCAAGCACACCAGAGATTTAACAGATTGTAAAAGGCTATGGGTTTTTCACCCATTCCAATATACCTTTATCATGCTGTCACCATTTCAGTCATGTTCCCACCCTGCATCCAAAACAGTACTGAATGAATATGTTTTCGGTTAAAAAAAAGGGAACCATTCTATTTTCCCCTCCAGTCTCGCTTTGGTTACGTTGATTTGAATGGGGGAAAAAAACAAGATGGCCGCATCATGATAATGGTCTATGGGATGGGATTTACACATTTAATTAAATTTACATCAGAGTGAAAAGGCCCATGACAATCTCATGCACTGATATCATTAACTGTGCAAATCCCATTGGAATGGGTGAAAAATCATAGCCTTTTACAATCTGTTAGATCTCTGGTTTGCACACACGGATTTCCATGGCATTTTCACTGATTCTACACAAGAGTATAATTAATATGTTCCATAAAGATGAAATACCCATGTTAATTTTTGAGAAATTAAAGGATATCTGCTTGCACAACTTTTTTGGGACACCCTGTATATAGTACTTACAAAACAAGGACAAGTGAAATTCCCGTGACATTTTTATACCTAAGATCGGCCCATTTCCATCATATAAAAACTATCTAACCATGTAAAATATCTTTACAAATAAATTATGGTTCAATGCTTACAACTTAATAAACGCCATGGGATGATACCGAACCTAACAACGCTACCAAACTAGGGCAAAGAAATCTTACTAGGACAGTGAAATCTTCTGGGCGACCAATCGACTGTTGCATTTCACCGGGTTGAACTATGTATGACCCCCACGTCCCTCTAGCGAGTACGCTAGACGATTGCTTTTAGGTTAAAGTTACCGGAATGATTGAGAAATGTGTGTTTAGGGAGCAGTACCGCTCGACCCTTCATAGGTGGCCAACTTTGGACAATATAATTTTTGTGGACAGGGGATTGAAGTGAAAGGATGTGGCAAAAACAAATAATTTTGGATAAACGGGAATGTAATTTGATACAATTGAATTGACGAATGTGATAGCGATGCGACACATACTGGCGGTGATGATAGAGACATGGTCGACGATTTAAATGATTTAGATAAAAACAAAAGAAAAAAATTTTCGCGATGATGATTATATAGGTTTTCCCGGCCAATTTCCTGAAATGTTCCGTCATTCACTTCTGAAAATCGGTAATTCATTTTCGTCTGAATTTGAATGCAGGTCTTTAATTCCATTTCAATTCAACGAAAGTTCAATCGTTTTCATTGTCCGTGCATTCGGTTTTGAGAAACAGACAGCCAATTACGTTACCTGTGCATTCATTTACGCAAGCATATAATTAATTTCAGGTACAGCTAATTTGATTGACGGTTAATGAAAAAGAAACCCCTCATTGTATCTGGTGCCGAATGCATTAAACTAAAAGTGAAATTGAAGAAATAGTATTGTTTTATGCTAATGATAATTGCCATATTAATGAATGAAACAGTGATGTCTTTCTGGACAGAAACTTTAGTCTAACATTGGATGCAAATCTGTACGTTGCTAAAGCGCCCTCATTTTGAACAAAAAATAAATGAGTGCTGATCGTCTTCCGAGAGCTACACTCTAGCTCTGTTGAGGGCGCTATCCTACAATCCAGCGTTGCAGCACTCGTACTTGTACTCGCAAGAACAAAATTAAGTACTCGTACATGTACTCTTGCGAATGTTCTCCCACACAAATTTAAGCAATTGTTTTTATTTAAAAAAAAAAAAAAAAAAACCTACTAAGCTTCATGCAGGAAAAAGAACCATTTTCTCCTGTTTTGAGAGGTTTGTTTCTGCATTTTGTTTAATGCCTATAGTTTGCTAGCAAGAAGTGGTTGATCTTTAGCAGGTGACGATAAAATTTGCTCGCGAAAAGTACTCGCACCTGTACTCATGCATATGGAAATGTACTCGACTACAACATTGCTACAACCCATGACGAGAGTGCAGAGTAGTTAACAAATTGCCATAGACGCTTAAAGTGCCACTCGCGAAAACATGGAAAATGATACAATGAAGAAACACACCAAATTAAATATCGATTAACCACATATCCACGTTACTTCTCCCCCTCTCCCCGTTAACAGGGTGGGTGTTAGAAGCTGATGATGTTCAAATGGATATTTTCTTCCAAAGACGATAACCCTAAAATATAAATAGTAGGCTTGATTCTCATGCCCTTACGAACATGTCTTAATTTTTTTGATGAATCTTAAAGAATTGAACGAATTTTAAAATTTCTGCTATATTTCTATATTTTAATGTCAATATATATAATACCTTAAGTAAGGCGGTTAACCGATGTTGGTCTCATTCAATAAATAAAGAAATAAAAATTTAATCATCCTACCATAAAGGATGACTTTTTGGACAGATGTTTCCACGTTTCCAAAAATACGAGCTCACAGTCCTGTTCAGGGTTGTGTATTCCGTTCTTACAACCCCCAAAACGAAAGGGTCATTAGCGTACATGCCAATTGTGGTTTGGTCCGCGCAGGCAATGTCCATTTTCTGGCATACATCCAGCGCGAGCAAGTCCGCAAGTTATTAGCAAGTACTCGGCAAAATGTATCGACACATCAAGCTTTTTGGGTAAACCACTTAGTTCGTTTTGTTTGGTTCGATATACCCGAAGAGTTACGGTTTGTTGTTGTGTCCAATCGTAGCCGGTTGACGGCCACCATCCGCTTTCGCCCGTTTTCCTGCCGCCACGGCACCTGGGTAACTCTGCGTTGATCCCAAACTCCAGGTACCGGACGAACCCAAATCTCCGGAGCTTGAGGTGGCTGTTGCTGCCTCGTCATCTGAGTGAGCCCGCTGCAGCTCCTTCTCGTCTTCCTTAGCCTGGAAACCAGTGGTGTACGTCACAGCGTCGGGGTTTTCCTCGAAGAATGTGGCGATGGCCTGGGGACCATCTCGGCAGATTTCGATCGGGGGTGTCTCGAGCGGATTCCCGTCGAGATTAGATGACATCGGTTGCTCAGCCCAGTCCAGGTACTCGAGGCGTCCGAAGCTGCGAGGTATCCCGATCAGGCTATTCATGCCCAGCCAGACAGTCCGGAGATTAAGGCAGTTGCCTAGCTCCTCGGGGAGGGTTGTGAGGAGATTGAGGTACAGCAAGAGCGTGCGGAGCTTGACTAGGTTCCCGACGTCACGGGGCAGCCTGGAGATCTTGTTGTCAGAGGCATCCAGAAACTCCAGGTTCTTCAGGTAGAAGACTGTCCGTGGGATCTCCTCGAAGAAGTTGTTGGCCAGGTGCAGGCTCTGAAGGCGCTGCAGCTGCCTGAACTCCTTCGGGAGAGTCGTCAGGAGATTGTTGCTGAGGATGAGAGTCTCCAATTTGGCCAGACCGCACAGCTCAGCTGGTATCTCTTTCAACTCATTGGTTCCCAGACAGAGTACCGTTAGGTTCTGCAGTCGGGACAGCTGGCGGGGAACCTCGGTCAACTTGAAGTGCAGGGAGGTCACCCTCTCGGGGCTGAGGTCCAGGAACTCTAGCTTGGTCAGCTCGAAGAGGAGGTCCGGAGGATCTAGGAGGTCTCGACCGGATAGCTTGAGGTGCTTGTACCTCCTGATGTTAGGGTCGTTGCTGTCTCGCAGCAGCCGGGGCTGTTTGAGAGTGATCTTCGGTGGCTCACTCGAAGCGAAATCCATCTTGTTTACAAGTCTTTTACTCTCCAAGCTCGGAAAGAAAACTCCCAGTAGCGAGCCGAGTACTTCAGTTAAATTCCATTTCTTTGATTGTCTGAATCACTGTCCGTTATTCCTTCGTAATATCAAAGCCTCGCGAAACACTTCACATGCAGACCCAGCCCAACGTCAATAATACGTTCTGGTGATAATTATATAAACTTCAACACGAAATTATCATCAGATTGATGCAAGTAGACGGTTGTTCGACCGCATGTATGTCACCCAAAACAGCAGCAATTCGTAGTTATTTGCTCTATAGCTCTATCATTAGCTATGCTTCGTTATTGACTCTTCCTGCCGGTGAAATGATCAAACATCGCAAGGAGACAGCAATAACTACGTGTACAATGGCTATTGTGTGTTTTAGGGCTAAACTGGCGACATGGAGCAGGCTGGGTAATTATTTATTCAGGCACACAGAGCTCTTCATTTTTACACAAGGGGAGTCAACTACTCCTATGCAATACAATGAACGTAAAAAAAATCACCAACAATTTCCAACCTGAATCATCCATACCCTTTGCAAAAAAAATGAACGGGTCCTGACTGTAAAAAACAATGCTGCACAGTATTCATGTAATGTTCGAAATGGTATTTTTTTTATCAAAGGACCGATCCTTTGGTAGATGCTGAATACACAATCAGTAACCATAGCAACGAAGGGTTGACCTTTTGAAAAAATTGACTTTTACCGCAGAAAGCAGATATACGACCGGTCATGGACAATTGCATCCCGGTTACCATGGAAACGGGCACCAATCCACTCTATAGAGACCTTCAAATGGAAACATCGCAAGTGTTGCGTGACATAAGGCGCTGGGTCTTGTTTTCCTGCTCCTGTGATTGTCAACTGCAGCTAAAAACTAAAATGGCAGTCCAGCCATTTCTTGATGGTGTAGGATAGGCAAATTCCCAACACTAGAACCAACCTCAGTCATCATAAAACTGAAACATATTTTTTTACACTAATTCAATATATCAATTATCAGTTAAATTAAGAAATTTAACAAAAGGTGGATACAAACCAAACCTTTGTTTTCTTTTTGTAAAGAATTCTTGTCAAACCCAACAGTTCATAAGTCATATATGGCCTAAGTCCTATAATGATGTACCACCTTGAGCTCCAATATTGATGGATACGTGCGCTGTATAAATACACATTATTATCATAAAAAAAACAGCTAAATTGTATTGAAAACGGAATTACACAAGAAGTTTTTCATCACTCTCACAACATCGAACAATTGACACTTAATGACAATCCATATGCCATTACACTGGGTCGTATGTATAAAAACATTTGCTTTTACCATCTAATTTGAAGCATTTACTTGCATAATTATGTATGAATAAAAATGAAGCAAATGCTTTTACTGGAAGCATTTGCTGAAAGCTAAAAGTATTTAATTTTTACTTGTCAGCTTTTGCAAGACTAGCAGTGTTTAGTTCATTTCGTATGAATAAAAAGGAGTACATGCTTCAGATTTCAAGTAGTTACTAGTAATTTTTTAAGGCTGGGTTGGGGCAACCTTAAAAATATAAAGCAAATACTTCTGCTCAAAAACTGCTGCATTTGTTGATATTAATCGCGCCAAAATTAAAACAAAACGTTTATAAACTACATAAAATATCATACACTGTATTTTGAATAACATTTATGCGAAATTTAAATATTTTTTATTATTAATTTCATTACTAGAAGAAATGATAATTTCGCATTTTGTTCAGGACATGAGAAGTGTTAGTGTGAAATTCAGTGGCACAGAATGACTAAGGAGAAATTTTACCCAACGGTACCCTGGGGACTGAATAAACTGAAATAATTTTTTTTTTTTTAAGTTTATTAGGTCACAAATTTATTAGGTCACAATTTTTGTTTAATATTTCAATAAACAACATTATTTGTTTGTTGAATGTTGGTTTGAATTTACTCGCTTTATACACGTGTCTGTCTGTGATTTTGATGCAACTGTGACGTCTACAGGACACTGTGGACCTTCACAATTTTCATGAATGATGAAAGTATACTTTTTGTATTCTGCAACTGGCAAAAAGTGTCATCATTGTTTGCTGGATTTGAGGATCATGCAAATGTACTGTGCTGTATGCATCGCTACGTGTGTGCGGCAGCTCGTACACACAAAAGGTACCCTATTAGGCCCCCCAAAAAAGTCTCCGGTTTCTGGTATGCGCGCGCGTCGCCGTAGCCATGCGCGTCGGCAAAATGAACAAGGTTTTTTTTCAATAAAAGATGATGTCTCAAAACCGCCAAACTCACTGGTTTGACTGGAATTCTGCTGCTGCACAATTTTCACGTGTTTTTAGATGGGGTTATGATCGAGAATAAGCTTTATGTGGCCTCTCTAGACTCCCATATATTCGCACTAAGTTTAGTCGGGCACCATTTGCAGTCATCAGCCGACATTTGAAGCAAAAAAAAAAAAAAAAACAGGTAAAAAAAAAAAAAAGCCGCGTCGCCGCACCACTTTTGAGGCAAGCTCCATACCAGAAACCGGAGACTTTTTTTTTTGGCCTTATTGACAATCTTTGTCCATGAAAACAATCCAACGCGGGTAAGAAGCATTTGCTATCTGTTAGCTAGTAAATGCTGAACAGTAAAGAAAAACTTTTATTCATACGGAATCAAGCATTTGCTTTTCCTTAATGCTTTTACTCCAAAGTGCTTTTACTTTTTGCGAAATCGGAAACGAAGCCGAGCTTTGAAAAGGGGCCATCAATGTCGTCATGTTTATTTTTAGCCACGGAGGCTGCGTGACCCATGACCTCAAACTCGTTCCCAGTGCTTACTTTATTTCCAGCGTCGTTTCCAATAGTAAACCCTGGATAGGAAACTTTCTTCCTGTATCCTGATTCGATACCGAAAGTGGCTAGAAATGGATTTATATCGTGTACTTGGTGTTGTTATTTACAACGTGCAGTACGTGTTTTCACGATCATTCGTCCACGCCTTCTCGAAATTATTCTTTTCCTTTCCAATTTGTTAATATAAATGAAATGTGATACTGCATGGTTGCTGTCTCGTTAAAATCGTAACAGTTTGATTAACATAACATCATGTTTTCGTTACTCACGCCATGCTCGCGCTGCGACGAATTGATTCTGTGTTTACCCCAGGCACAGCATACAAAAACAACGCAAATGTAACGCACAGGCAGGCACCAGACTACTCCTCATTTGCATACGTGTTCAAAAATCTTGCACATTAATGATCCAATACCAGGGTGAGAGAGCAGGTAGTGGTGGGCGCGTACGGCTCGACATCCTGGGGACGAGGTTGGCCTGACCTACAATTTAGACGTGAGCGTCGGGAATATTGTCAGATCTTGGTACCAGACTTCCAGGAAAATTATGGAAGGTGAACGTTGCAAATATACAGAAAAGTTTTAATGTTTTAAATATATCAGGGTGTTGTTAGAAATACAAAATAACCAACAAACGCTGCCTAAGAGTAAAATGTAATGAAAAATACCTCTTTTTGTACATTATGGGTGTATTTATTTATACATTTTTGGGGGCAAAATTACGTTACCGACTATTTCTTTAATTTATGTCCTTTTGGCAGCCCATACTGGAGCTCAAACAAAGGATGGACTTTGGACCAACTATTACATTGTGCACAATTTCAAGAGACACATCAACAACAAGGAAGTTGCTGGATTATTTTGCAAAACATCGCCACTCCCATCGCCAACACACACCAAAAAAATCCACGTAGTGACCTCAGAAAAGTTGCATCGCCGTTGGAAGTCAGGTAGTAGTGGAACACCACTCATCTATAGCCGACTACGCGGATACGGAGTGCATACTTGACTGCTCACCCATATAGTATAGTATATTATGTCACATTTTTGACCTTTGCATATTTTTTTTGCTAAAGAAGGAATTTTTGTCATATTTGGGTAGAGTTTACCTTCCTAAGCCAGAAATCCATTGGTAACATTTTTTCCATCTACCATGTGGCGGCCAACTTAGATTTCAAAATGGCGTCCATTTCGGACAATAGGGTGCACACCGGTAAATCGATCCGCCAAGCTCATGAATAAAAGTTATACCATCAAAATATTCTATATTAGAGAGTTCTGAGCGCCGTAAAATTGGGGAATTGAAGAGATATGGTAATGAACCTCTGGCCCGGACTTGGGGCTTCCAATTCTGAGCATTTTGGATGCTATTGGGCTCGAAAGTGGCGCTATTTTGCCATGTTGTGGAGGGATCGTTTTTCAAGATGGCTACTTTTCCGCTTTGGGGAAAATAGGGGTCGTCTTCTTTGGGTGAAAATATCTCGAAAAGTCAATGGTCAACCCACCAAAAATTGAAAAGAAAACGAAAGATGACATGTTGATTATCATTTTTCTGTGCAGCTTAAATACCTGTGAGAGTTCTGAGTATTTTTAAAAGAATTTTGAAGTATGGGCATTTAGCACTAGTGTCTATGGGAGTTTATTAGCAGGTATGCATCCTATAAAGAATAACAAAGATGGCCGTATCGCGCAAGCGCTGTGCCGCGGAAGTGGTCTTTTCAGTGGGCGGAACCTACGGGGAGGGGTAAACAGTGTTTTAAAGGTATCAACAAGGGTCTTTTTCCGTAACGGATGCTTCCAAATCATAAGGGAGCAGTAGGCTATCACCCGATTACAACAATTGCTAGTTGAAAAGGGGGGGGGGCATTTTGAGCTTAAAAGTAGCTGAAACTTAATTTATTGTCGCTGGGGGCGCTCTACAACTTAGCAGGGGCAAAAATATCACTATTTTCGGGCTTAATATCGACCTCGGATAATATTTTTCTTTCATTTTTTTTTCAAAATATTGACTTTGGAGATATTCTGCTTGTCCTGAATGCGGTTTTGTGTTAAAATTTAAAAGTTGCCTGCTATTATAGGGTGCACACCGGTAAATCGATCCGCCAAGCTCATGAATAAAAGACAAGTTATACCCTCAAAATATTCTATATTAGAGAGTTCTGAGCGCCGTAAAATTGGGGAATTGAAGAGATATGGTAATGAACCTCTGGCCCGGACTTGGGGCTTCCAATCCTGAGCATTTTGGATGCTATTGGGCTCGAAAGTGGCGCTATTTTGCCATGTTGTGGAGGGATCGTTTTTCAAGATGGCTAATTTTCCGCTTTGGGGAAAATAGGGGTCGTCTTCTTTGGGTGAAAATATCTCGAAAAGTCAATGGTCAACCCACCAAAAATTGAAAAGAAAACGAAAGATGACATGTTGATTATCATTTTTCTGTGCAGCTTAAATACCTGAGAGAGTTCTGAGTATTTTTAAAAGAATTTTGAAGTATG